GGAGAGTGACCCTGGCTGTCACTTAGCTCTCTGCCCTACACCACCAAGGTCCTGAGACTCAAGGCAACACAGGGTCTTCTTATAACACCAGCAACTTGCATCCTTGAAACTACGGACACCCCTGAATAAGTTTGCATTATTTTGCTAAACAGATCATTTAAAATTTTTATTTTCTTCGTAGAAGCTGAAAGACACCTTTAGACTTCCACCCTAGGGGTTTGCTGTTTGTTCCTTCAAAATTAAATGGAGGGAATTACTTGTCTTGCACAGGCAAGATCACAGGTCTTTTTTTCCTCCACAGGTCCAGAAACTCATTGCCTTAATTACAGTCGCCAAGGACCCTCACATTCAGTCTGCTTTCAAAGTACCTTAACGACTTTTAATGAGCTTTACCTCATAGGAATCTTTATTTGCCTTGTATTTTTCTATCTGGTATAGTTGGTTCTTCTGGCAAATACCGTCCTGGCCTTCAGACTTCTGTGGAAAGAGAAGCACAGAAAAGTAAAGTATGAAAGATAACTAGAGAAAACTAACATTAAATTACTGCTTAATGGACCGTATCCACTCTTCGCATTCAGTGGAGGTGCATCGACTTACAGAGATGGTGAATTTGGTCCATTACATTTTAAATATCATTGATGACATCATCATTAAAACAAGCTTGCTAAAAGAACAATGAAAAGAAAAAAACTCAGAAGCTGTTGTTGGATTGGAAGGACATTTGGGATAATTTCTCCAAGAAGCAAACATATTAATAAGAAAACTCCACAAAACCCAACATCCTGCCCACGCAGTCACGCAGGAGCTTACAGACCCTCAGCTAGTTAAGACTCCTCACCAGACCACAGGCAGCTGTGTGAAGAGGCCAAGGGACGAGAAAGTGCAGCTTGTCTTCGTGAGCTCTGCCTGTCCCAGCACTTCAGCAAATACCATGCAAAGTGTGGCCTGACAGCTGCCCACGATGTTTAAGGAAGGATGACATGCGGAGCTAGGCTCCTGCCCCAAACAGAACTGCTAGGCAAATCCATCAGCAGTGGTTCTGATCCCCAAGCCACACGCAGGGGCCAGGAAGGTCAGCAGGAGATTAGGAGATTTTATATTCATGTTCTTTATCATGTAAAATTTTCCACTAATTTTTCACTTAAAAACTAAATAAATTCTTAATAGCTCTTAAGCTGCCCCGGGATTTCCTGAATTAAGTAACATTGTGCTATTGATATTTCAAGTGGCAGAATTATCTTAGCATACGGACACAGCACATCACAAGACACAGCAAGGCTCTGCATAGCAAGTTTGCTTTCTATAGGGTGAATGCCCAGTCAGAGGGGATCTCCCATGGAAACACACTCATGAGACATAATGCCTATCAGCAATTACCTCTGCAACTGAGGGAATTCTTATCCGAAATAATATTATTGGTTTACAAGGAATACTTACCCTTCACAGTTACTGTTACAAAATTAGAAAAAAAAAAAAAAAAACAACTTGGATAAAGCTTTGAGATCAAATGCCAGCAAGAAGCGAAAATTTCAGCACTATATCTACCCTCCTCAACCACTCATCCAAAGAACTGGCATCAAACAGTACTCACTCTAAGGCTTGCCAAGTAGCGCTCCAGCTTCTTATTAAGCAGAAAGTAGATGGCAAGCGTGTGACTTGCCCTGTTTGAGAGCACAGTGTTGATGACGTCGCTGTTCTTGTAGCCGAGCTTCTCGGTCATATGGAGCAGCACACTTTGGCTGAGGTCCTCAAGGTGAATCCTGCACAGAGAGAGAGGCAGAGCACGCCACTCGTACCATCCTTCCAGTGACAGAGCCTTGCCAGCCATGGAGGATGTGGCAGAGCGTTAAGAAGAGGCCTGAAAGGCTCAGGAACATGGGATTGGTTAGCTCTCTCCTCCCATGAGCAGGCATGAAAAGGGCAGGATATTCGGGACAGAGAAGTACTGCAGGAAGACATGATAGCTGAATGAACATCACTCTCCCCACCATGTCATACCCGATGTGAAATGGCACCATGATGCTCAGGACACTGCCATTTATTCCCTACATCTAACCAGTGAAGACTCTCTGAAGATTATCTGGCTGGTTTTGAAGGAGAACTAAAATCCAAATCAAGTAGCTACATTTGGCTTCTGAAATGACCCTTTCCTTATAATCATAGACCACTGCATTCAGCTTCACTTGTTGCACAATATTCATGCACTATGTAGCTAGGGAATTCCATGCTGGAGAAAAGGGACACAGGTAGTTATTACAGCAGCTTTCAAAATGGTAAAACTGATGTTATACTCACATCTTTTAAAAGCAGAAGTACAAGACATGTTTATGTATATGTTCTTCTATAAAATCCATAACAGACTCAGCGAAGACAAGAAACGAAATGCAACAGCCTTGTGAAAATGGCAAAGCATCTTCTCAGTCTAAGTTAAAAACAGATTTTCCAAAGAACTCTGCTCCTATTTAGGCCTCTAAACACACTGGCTAGCTTCCCAGATGTACCCGTCAAATCCCATCCATCTCAAAAGAAATGCTGGGTCTCATTTGGTTTCTAAAGGACATTCCTGGCTCCTAATATCAAGCCAAATATTTGGCTGAGGCAAGTTAGGGGAGCTTAGGTTGTGGGCTTTTTTAGAATCTGCCTTCTCCCTTCAAAAGGACCATTCTTCACCTTTCCGACTCTTGCCCTGCTGTCCCCCTGCCCTGTGCACCTGTGATGCAAGGAATGCCTGGACCACACAGTCTGGACAAGATGTAAAACACAGTCTGGAAAAATCTCAGATAACTCTTTTCCTTTATGCAGTGTGCTTATTAACATTCATTCTGCAGCTAAGGAATGCTTGGGGTTGGGACTTTTAAAGTTCAAAAGCAAAACTTAGTTTGGCCTTTGAACATTAAAGCATCTGGACAGCAAAAGAAATTCAAGCAATTTCTACTTGAAATGCTCAGCAAAATGGGAAATTTTTGCTTGCCTTTAGGGAATTTATTTAATAAAAGCAAGCTTATAAAAATCCTGGGAGAACATTCTCCTGAAAATGTAGTTTCTGCTGTTCTTCCACTTTATATCTCTCCATGCTCTCTTCCTTCCTACCACGTGCTTGTCTTCGGAACAATGGGTGCTACCCTCATATTGGTGGAAGCGCACCACAGGAACAGAACACATCTTCTTACTTGTGCTGATTAAGAGAAGTGATTCTTTTTAAATTCAGTAGTGGATTTTCAGAACTATTTCAACACATCTTACACACATCTGCACACTAATAAAAACTTCAAAGAAACTCTGTCAAAGCTGATGTTCATGGTACTTTCTTAGGTAAGCTCAAAAGGAGTCAGGTCATGTCTTTAAATATTTCAAACTTTGTAGAGTATTTTCCCTATAAGGCTCCAGTATTGCAAAGACTAGGTAGGTCAAGCCTGGGGCATCAACGAAATAAACTAAAGAAATATTATCTAAACATGAAATGAAAGAAAGAATCTATATTATTTTAATCCTTACAGCTTAATATAAAATCTGGGTTCAGGTAGAAGAAGCATTTTCTTTTCCTTTGTTTTCAGACCAAACATTATTATCATCACCATATACACATACATGCATGAGCAAACATACACCCTCTCTATAGTCTGGCACTGCATTTTCTTCTGTTCTTCCATTTGATTCGCTTGCCTTTAGGAGAAAATGATTAATGGGTACTCCATAAATAAAAAGGACTGCACAGATATTCTAACAGAGGTTGGCCTCTTCTGTAAGTCACTACTTAATGAGCAAACTCTAGAAGAAATGGCTCATTTAGAGTCACCAATGAGCAAACTCTAGAAGGGACGCTTCCACTACACCCTGACTAACACCTGGCAACTGCAAGCTAGCAATTAAAAAACAGAGGCAGGAAAATGTACCTACAAATGCAAAAGAACTGTGAAAGCACATTCAGGACCTATTCCTTTTTTCCTCTTTTCTGCAGATAAGGCACATACAGCAAGGGAATTAAATTACCCATACAGCTCTCAGTTACATTTACATTCACTTAACAGATGCCACATTTAGTAGATTGATTAGACTCATTATGACAGTGATTTCATTAGCTTAATGACTCATTCAGTTTACACTTGTTTTCCCTTTCTTTACCATACAATGTTCATATGTACCATACTCGGGTACAGCCTAATGCATCATAGACACCCAGATTTTCTTTTGCTGGACAGCATACTATGCAGATTAACTCAACTGCCTTTAATTTTGGAGCAGTAATGTCAAGATAATGGGTCTGCCTGTTCTCATTCTTATTCTTCATAAAACTTTGTCCACATAGGTCTGGGAATTGCAGGCAGCTGGCCTTAAATTTGCCGACCCATTTCAGTGGATGACTCTAGTGATGCCTCCAGGCATCCAAGCTGCTCAGTTTACTCAGCCACATTCTGAGAGTGGAAGACCTGTTATTCTCCTCAGGTTAAAGAACAGCACAGTCACAGCAATTCTCCATGATGCAGTACTTGAAAGTTAAGACACTGCCTCTGGAAGGGAAATGCTTGCTGCTAAATTAGGGCACCTCCATTCCCTGTCAATGAAGAAGTGAAAGGGAAGTGACTCAGGTATGAGCTTGGACTATGCAGGCTATGACCCATAAGCCAGCCAACAGCAGCATCTAAGGGAAAAGCCTCCAAAAATTCCTAAACACTGTCAATATTCAGGGCTCAAACTGATTTCCTATGCCCAGGCCCCAAATGATCAAGCAGTGACAGTGCTTGTCACCTGCTTCAGCAATAAGAAAGGGGTGCTGCAGGTGCCTATCAACCCCAAAGAGGTTGAACCCATGGCTCTGAATCACTGGCTAGTGGTGGAGCAGAGAGGAAAACGAGTGGGAGGCACTCTTACCAGCAAAGTTGTGACCTGGGCTGAATGCTAAAGGCTGGCTCTATGCCAGCTTATGGGCCCAAGTCCTCCAGGGTACCAACACAAAGACATGGCCTGGTTGGTGAACACCAAACCATTTTTGGGTGAAGGATAATGGTATAAATGTTCAGACAAAAGTTGCCATGCCCCTAAGCATATACTACATCTGGTAACTAGCAATCGAGTAAACTGTAGTGCAGACGTTAGGATCTTTATTAGGGACTCTCCTCTTCACAAGTTAGGACAGAAATTTTGGGGCACTATCAAATTTTAAGCACCAAAATTAGGGTTGAAATTGCTGTCTTTGCCTCACTGTTACTTAGAATCTTGGCCTGCAAGCTAGTAACTCTTACAGTGAATCCTCTGCAGCTACTACATTGTGCATGAGACACAGCTGGAGGGCTCTGATAGAGGAAAGAGATTTTATCTGATCAAATACAGACATGTATTTCCAAGTGAGTTGCCTGAGGCTCCATTTATAGTCACTGGAGAGGAACTTGTATCTCCTGGGCACAAACTCATCCTATTGCAGAATCAAAAAGAAGTCAGATGAATCACTCTGTAAAAAGTGTCCTCCACTGCCTGTAATGAGATCCCAGGATGGTTGGCTCCTGTGTCAACTCTACGCTTCAGATACTTAAAGTCAAGCAAGATTATTTCTAACCAAAGTGGACCACAGGTATCTTTCTTTTTCCTTAGATGAATGTTTGACTGGCCATGAGATTTGTTCTCTGCTTGCATTTCATCATAGATTCAGCACAGATACTCAAGATAACAACCAACCAAGCAAGAGCATTTATCTTTGACCTTTCTCACCACAGTTTGCATGTTCACCTCATCCACAAAATCTCATATATGTATCACAAATGAGCATAACTTCTGCTGGAAAAGTAGCACGGCTTTTACTGACAAAGTGAGGATCAGAACTACCTGTCACACATCCCCATTCCAAGGTCTGGACACAATTATCATATGATCCGCACCCCAGACCACCCCAGACCACCCTAAAAATAATGCATTGTACGCCAGCTTCTAATTTAAGGTATTGGTTTTGACCATTTCAAACAACATATATTCAATGGCCAATCCTAACAGCTTTTAGAAGGGTGTCACAAGAGCAAACCCAGAAAATGCACTCAGAGGTGGTGACACCTCAATGGAATTGAAACATCACAGTTGTTCACATTTGAACACAGATAATGTATACACAGCCTGGCAGGCTTTCTCTGCCCTTTCGCATAGTACCTGTTTGGATATGTGACATTAGGTGGTGCTCTTCCAGGGTAATTCTCATTAAGCCACCGATTTGCAAGTGCCTGCTGGATGTTTGGTCTCTTCACAGGATCTGGCTCTAGTAGAGACCGTAGAAAGTTTACAGCCGCTGTGAAGAAATCAACAACAACAAAAAAAACCAGTAGCTATGTCATTTGCTTTATGACCTAACACAGTTGTTGAGTTACTACAGGTGTGTGGCCTGACCAAGACCATACTATAAAAGGAACGTTTTCTTTAGGGTATGCTCTGATGTCCCTGAGAAAAAGGGAAAAACTGATAAGGCATTAGTAAGAAAAGTAAACAATTATTATAGTCACAACGATTTATGGAGTTATAAAGAAGAGGAGTAAAAGCACCTTTTTGTTTCAGAGCTTGTTTGAAGTTTCCAGCCACGTTAGCCAAAACTTAATTTTTGTACGAGGACAAAAAGCTGGAGCAGAGACAAATCACTCAGCCTCTGTTTAAATTAGAAGGAGATGGACTGGGAGTGAGTGGAGGGGAGGGATGCAGAGCTGGGAGGGAAGACATGGAGAACTGGGTTCCCTTTGACATTATAAGAACAAATTATCTGCTGGCTTCCGTCCAACTTACAATCAGTTGCAGGAGGCTTTAGCCAAATTAAAAGAGTACAATAAAATTAATGGGCTTCATTCTTTTCTCAGATACTTGAACCTTCAACTTTCAGTGACATTCAACCGTTCCTTGGGATTTTCTTGCAAAAACCCTCAAAAGTACTTTTCTGACATTTTTAAGTTATATGGTTAGAAGCGATGAAATCAAATTATTTGCTTAAAGACTCACAAGAAGTGCCTATCTGAGCTGAAAATAAAACTAGGTCTGATCTTTATTTCTCAAATTATCAAGGCTAGATTAATTTTTTTGGCTACAAGATATTAAAGAGTTAACTCTGTCCTCTAGAATTCCCTGCACAAAACATAGAAAACTTGATTTCTGGGAAAATTATGATTGCCATGATTTTGTAGAGGAGATACGGTCAAGTGAGACAATGCCAAATGAGTCCTGAATGAAGTCAATGGCAAACAAGAGGAAGAAGTGATATCTGCAGGAATTTTTTCCAGGTCAGATGAACTGGACCTTGGGGGCTTTTTCCCACTGTCTTCCACAGCGGACCTGCAGTTCCCTTCCTATGCTCTCCTGAGCACGTCATGTCTGCTCATCTCCCTGCCTGTGCATGTGCCCTGGGCAATGGCAGCACAGGACAACTGTGGCACGGGATGGTGTCCTCTAGGATGTGCCTCCTGGGTAAGCTGCAGTACAGACTTGCCTACAGAGCTACTTTGGCTCAGTGCAGGCAAATCAAACCCCTTAAAGGCTTGTGTTACAAAGCAGATTAAAACAGATGTCTGTCCTGGCTTTAGAAAAGAACTAATTCTGTTCAGTGATTTTGCTTTCCAGCTAAGTCTCTCCTAACTAACTGCCCTGCCTGCAGTTAGCAGCACGTTTTCGCAGTCAGAGTCTGCCTCTAGCAGTGGTAACGCTTCATCTTTAGAGTGACCACCAAGGATTGGTGTGCAGACCAAGGTCACTGCTAAATCCTGTGCACCACGTTGGGGGTGCAGAAAGTAGAAGGCTGCATCTGTGGGGCGGAGCGGAAAAGGACAAGGGACCCTAAACTGACCAGTGAGATATTCCATCCCATATATATCCTATTCAGTATAAAGCTGAGGGATCGTGAGGGTCAAGCTCTCTTCTTCAATGGCTGGCATCCAAGGAGGCCTCTCCATTCTGCCTTTGATCCCAATCCATGTATTCCTGAATCCGGTTCCCATCTGCCACTGGGTCTAGTCTGGGACTTCCCCAGGGCCTGATCCACAGCATCAGTGGTGATGGTGATGTAACTGCCATCAGGGGAGCGGGGTTTGGTACTGGATTTGTATGTATTAATACATATTCCATTTTATTGCTTTCAATAAGGCTGTTTCAGCTTTTGTTTCTAATTGATAAGTCTTTCTCCCTTATTCTCTTTCTCTTCCCCTTTGGGGGCAGGGGGGAAGAGGTTAACAGAGAGCACCTGTTACAGGTCTAGCAGACAGCCCTGACCCTAAACTGTGACAATGTTCTAACACCTCAGTGCTAGAAAACTGTAAAATTATAAGCTAGCCTTCCCATCTGGCTTTACAGGCGTTTGGTCTCACCACCAAAGCATGCTCACTCAGTACCACACCATCCCCTACTCTGAAGCAGAGCAGCTGTGATGTGTCCTGTCCACCAGCAATACAGTGAATCCCCCATGAATCCCTGTTCCCGCACGTAGTTTAAGGAGAAGAATATGCCTGTTGGTGAGGCCTCATCTGAAAAGGGCATAAACGTTAACTGAGTCATAGCACCGCTGCCCTTCACAGGCTCTCCTCTAGAAGACTCCTGCCCTTGTCCGTGTTTGCCTCAAAAAATTCGGGGTTAGATCCAACAGGTGCCAACTCATAACAGCTTGGGTAATCTCAGCGTTCAACACCTTGCAGAAATCAGCTGGAAAGGGCCCTGAGAAGCTATCTGTTCCAATGCAGGCCTACCATCAAGAAGCTTATGTGTGGGAGAGAGAGTTACAATTACACATTTACCAGTTGAGCTAGGCATCAGCTGGGTTTGTACTAAGCTCTCTCTTCACAAATTGCTCATTTATGTGAGATACTTTACTTACACCTTTCCCAACGTCTTTGTTCTTTTCCTACAACAGCAATATTGTGGAAGTGGCAAGAGAAGCCTACACCCAAGTTGATAAGCCTGCTGGAAACATGGCTATAATAAACTAGGGGTGTTATCCATGTGCCCCCCCTGCCACATCATTTGGGCATGGAACCTACCATTAGGGCAAACAACAAACCCCTTGTTCTTCCATTTCATCTCCCCTCCTCTCTCCTCAGGAATTCCCCATCTCTGTGTGAGAAATTATATGCATCCCATGGTTTCAGAGCAAAACAGATAATCCTTCTCCAAACCAACACCCTCCTGCTCCTCCATGACCACGACCTTCGGTCACTAAGTCAGCTAATGTCTCCTTATAAATCTTATCTTTTTTTTCCCCCCTTGACAAAAGGCAGACTAATTAAATTAAGTTTGTGAAGCAACACAGAGATCAACAGATCCAGGCCAAGAAAAACTAATTCTGGAGAGGACTTCCCCAAGCTGGCAGGCTCCCTGCCGGAACCAGGCGACAACAGAAGACGTGAGTGACAGCACCTTGGCTGATTTGAACTGTCAGACGGTACGAGGAGGAAAGAAGCCTTTTCCAGTTAGCCGTGCAGCTGTCAGACAGAAAAATTAGTACCCCAGGGAGCAAACACAAATATCCCAAATTCATTTTTGGACCCACTGTGTCTGAAGCCATTTTTCCTTCTGCACCAAGTAGTCTGGTGAACAAAGGGTGCTGTGAACCACCCCACCAGGGCCTAATTACACGAGGCCTCGTTTATGATGAGGTCAAGGACAGCAGTAATCTGATTAGCCTGTGACCTGCACTTGCTGGAATTTTGTTCCCATGGTGTAATTTTTGGGAAAACTTTGCTCTTTTGAAAAATGAGAGACCAGCATCATGAGAAACTACATTTCTCTCTTAACTGCCTTGAGTGTACCAAGCTCAGTGACAACCAGAAGCAGAGCATGCCTCAGGTGGGGATGACAAGACCTCTGCTGTCTTCACGTTCTTTGTCGTGAATGAAACCAACTTAGTGTCACATTCACACTGTGAGCTTGGCCTGGTTATAAGTAAGGTATACAGAAAGTGGTTACAAAACTGGCTGAAGAAAATGCAGTGAGGTCATTTCACAAGCCATGAGTGAGCTCCACCTAATAAAATCCTTCCTCCAAACTACAGACATAGGCAGACGATGGCTTTTTCTTCTCACCTCCACTTCATTTCTCTGTTCCAGAAGGAAGACCAGACATGTACAGAAGTGGTAAATTGAAGGAAAAAAGGAAGGTGTGCAAAGTGAATACCAACTTCCCAAGAACTGAACTTTGCTCATCTAAAATCAATAATTAAGATAGCTGTGTTGCTTAAGAAGCTTAATGAAAAACAGTTTCCAAAATGTGAAAATCAAACACTAACTCCAAATTTTCCCTGTTGCTACAGAGTTACTTTGGGAACTCATGGTCACCCAACATTTTAACTAATCCAAATAAATCACGCTCTTGCTTAATGGTAAGACTGGTTTCTATATTACAACAGGACCATGTGTTCAGTAACTGTGAAATTAAATATTGAAAGACAATGTACTGAACAAGCAAAACAGACTTCTGCAATAAATCTCTACACTACATGTGAATCTACAGAAAAAGAAAACCTGATTAAAGAAGAAGATCCATAGACCTAAGAAGTTAACAAACAGTCATTCACAGAGAAGGAGAGCTTCTACCTACTGACCCAAAGCCTAACTGTGGCAAGAACAAATGTCATCTTAAATCACAGCTTGCCATGTCCAGTGAATGCACAAGGCCACTGACTCAGATCAAGAACTGACACGTACCTTTGTTCACAGTGAGTAAAGGTTAACACGTTTAAATCTATTCCATTAATTTGCCATCATCTCTGGAAGTTCAAGCTGCTGTAGTTCTCACAGGATAAGCAAAATAAGGTTTCCATTGGAGACCATAGTGTCAGTGAGCTACAAATGCTTCAGAGATGCATTTGTGAGAAAATTTGATCACCATTATAAAATGGTAGGATGAATGAAACAGTAAAATGAAACCTGTGAAAAGTAATGCATTTTTTTTGCTACCCAAGGCCTAGTCTTCTACAGGCATTTTGTGGGTGATTCAGCCTTTAATGCATGAGTCGCCCAAGGGAAGTCAGTGAAATCTCCCACTTAAAGACAACTGGAAGATATCAATGACTGCAGAAACAGTCCATTAGTTCAAAGAAACTACAGAGGCATCATGTAACTGCTCTTTATTAGTAAAAGCTTCACTCTGGGAGGTCAGTTTGGTAATTTTTTTGCTAAACTTGGAAAATGTTTACTATGATATGCAAGTCCCTGAATTCAAGAATAACTTTCCAATTGACGCAGGATTTAGCATCAAGATCAGTACAGCACGGAAAAGTCAGTATAATCTTTCTTTCAATTTACACAGAGGAGCTTTAGAGCATATGCTAGAACATTCAAATAGCCATTTTGTGCAACTGAATCCTAACTGGAAGTCTCCAGAATGGAAATACCAAACACTCAAATTGCATCAGACAGACGGCAAAACTTGCAGCATCCCAGCTCACTTGTAAACCTACCACTTTACGACAAGCCAGCAATGGGAACTGCTGGCAGGAAAAGTGTACTTCCTACAGATCATGAGTGAACAAGGAACAACATACTCTGCTTGATCCATGGATAACCTGTGTCAGAAAATCCTCAAGTATCTAATTCTTCTGTATGCAGGTAAATCTGTACTTAGAAAACTCATCTTTTGACACAACTTCCCAGGGCTTTTTCTTACACCCCTGCAACAATGTTTTCCATCTTTAGTGTACTGAGTGAAAATGTATAGTTACTCTTCTTCTATTTGCCATCTTTTAATTTTGCTGAATGTCCCTTGTAAACAGGCTGCCAGATATGGAGAACAGAAGCTCTCCATGAACAACAAATGTAGCATACAAAAATAAAACCCAACCACAAAACAGAGTTTGTTCCAAATGATGACAACTGTCTTGCTATAAGCTGAAAAATTACTCTGTTGCCTAGTGACATAGCTTCAAAGCAGGAATTAATATTTTTAATACTAATGCATCAACAATTTTTCATTTTGTGAACACACAAAGGTTATTACAGGTCACCATCCCAAAATAACCTTCTGTGTGCATGTCATTACTCCATAATAAATGTGAGGAGGTCATTCAAGGTAGTTTATCTTTCAACCCTAGTCACGATAATGCCCAGGAATCTGTTATTCCAAAATAATGTGTTTATGCATTCATATCTTGTGCTAAAATCATGTGAATGTGCAACCTGACCAACTACTCTACACAAGAAATTTCACAGAATTTGATAAGTTTGTTCTTCTCTCATGTTCAGCACAACCTGGCACTTCTCCAGCTTACATAGAGAAACCAAAGCAAAAGGAGTTATACTGTAGCAACTCCCGCAGATCTTTTGGAGGGTAAAATGAAATAAAAAAAAAAAAAAAAAAATTCACAATTAGCGTGCTATGGTGGTAGCATGACTCACAACCCAGAATTCAACACAGTGGTTCTGAACGACTGGATCTGAACAGGTCCCAGCACACCCCCTTGATTACCTGTAGAGAGCTGAGTGGGAAAAGGGTTCATTTCTTTGTCCACCATTTTCTGGTATAAAGCTCTCAAGCTGAATGGCTCCACAGTAAAAGGTAATGTTCCAGTCAACATTGCATACATGTTCACCCCACTAAAAGAAAACAGAGAGAAAAAGAAACCAAAATGATCAGGAAAAAGGAGAAACATAGGCTTATGTTTTCATGACTGTACTTAACCTTTAATGTCTGACAGCTATTGAAAAAAGACAAAAAAAAAGCTCTCTTTTCTGTTGCACAGAACAACTTGGGCAAGAATTCCCAGAGGTTTGTTCACGGAGGGTCACACAATGTGTAGGACAAGCTGTGAGCCACAGAACCAAGCCCAGCTCTTAGGCAACTCCTTGGTTAAATACCACGCCATAGTTAAGTCTACCCTCAGGGTGCATAAACATGCTGCTTTTGGAGGCCTTGTCTGGGTGCTGCCCTGTGTGTGGAACGACTGCCTGCACCAGTGGGGACATCGCAGGTCCTGGTTCAGCACCAAAAGGTGATCTTCACGGCCTCTGGTGCAGCCCAAAGATCAGGTCTGAACAATTACATTTTTTTTCAGAGCAGAAAGCTTACTGCTTGTTTATGCCCAGCAAAGTCAGAGATAAAAAGTGGGTTAGGCATTCTTTTACCTCTTACAAGGGATATAAATTTGATTGGAATTCCTCCCTTCCGTGAATTTGTTTCCCAAGTCTACTGAACACACGTATGGGAACAGAAAGAAACTAAACTGGTGTGCTACCACAAACTGTAATCACAAACACCATTTATTCAGCTATGAGGAAGGGGCAGGAGTTAACCACAGTTTCCTCTTTTATGAAAAAAAAAAAAAAAAGAGTAGGACATTACTGCTCAAGAAGTTTCAATAGTTTACATGAATGACTGTGCTCAGTTTGCTTGTGTTCTTCCGGGCTGGTATGGTCATTCTTGATGTGGACAGACAACCCACTGCTGGAGTGAGAAATTCTGTAGCCATACAATGATTTAGCTGTGGGTGTCCTCAGAAGACAGGCTGATAATAGGCTTCAGCAGGGGAAGTTCTAAGGAGCCTTGAGGAGCAACTAGGTATGAGCTAGATCAAATTATGACATGCATTTGATGCAGGTCTTAGCCTCATATATAAACCATGGCCAATCTTTCTTAGCACTAGTACTATTTATACTGTACTTTACATTTTCCAAGCATTTCAAACACTTCAACTTGAGAATTGTCATAATTATTTAACTGGAATGTATTCAAATGTTTTTACCACTGCTTGGTGAAGGAAAATCTATTGATACTAAAGTAAAAGCTAAAAATCAACTGGCTTCAGCTAATTCCTCTCCAAAATTGACAAGGATAGCCAACACGAGGTCCATGGCTAACAGGAAGGTAGTGGAAGTTGCACATCTAAAACAGTATTGCAGAAAAATTCATTGACTCCAAAACATTGTTTTTTTTTTCTTTCCCTGGCTTCCTCTGTCTTTGGCAGCGGGGATTTCTGTCTGTTCCTTTGCCTGTACACTAGTATTCTCACAAAGGCTCACGAGTTTTCTGGCCAGTTTTGTTTTCCCTTTAATGACTGTGCCTTCAAAGCGATGACCTGACTTGATTTCACATTTCTTGTCAGACTTGGCTGTGTACAGTGCATGGAGCTCGCATGAATGTTTGAGGATCCTCTGGGGAAAACTAAAAAAGCTGTTGGTCCTGTTGTGCCAGATCCATGTCTTCTACTATGTCTGAACATCATTGACGAACAGTTGTGCAGTCTCTCCATGCTTTATGTTCTAGCAACCTATATACAAGTAATAAAGATCTATTTCAAAAAAAGATATCACAGAGTCATTACACAGATTTTTTTTTCAGAGCAGCCAAATACATGAATAATGTTTCCTATTTGAGCAATGGATAATGACTACAGTAATAACAAATATAAGCTAGAGAAGTAACTCACATGGACCAAACGTCTATTTTGGGCCCGTATTTTTTCCTTGCCAGAAGTTCAGGGGCTGCATATGCTGGGCTCCCACACTGGGTGCTGAATGGATCGGAATAACCCAAGATGCCTGCACAGTTGCTCAATCCAAAGTCTGTGAAAGGCACAGAGACAGTTATGAAAGAGACAGATACGGTAAAGCCACTTTAGAACACAAGGAGGGGGAGGAGGGGAGACCACATTTTCTTCAAAAAGCTAAGCAATGAATGGCCTGAGAAAAAAATCATCTGCAAGCAAAAATTTTATATAATTTGTTTCTCTGAGGTGCAAAATAACCAGGGATTTCCACAAACAATAAAAAAGCCTTAGAATCTGCATGATTATCGATTTCATACACAAAACACCTACATTCCACTGGGAACTGGACGGCAACAAGTGGAGTTGAGGTTGTCCCAGGCACTCTGTGATGTCTTGGGGTAGAAAGCCACCTCAGGCTGTTGTGTATTCCATTCTGCTGCAGTATGTTACATAGAGGCCACATTTAAGTAGGACTTCTTCAACATTTTCCTTTAAATCATGTAAATGAGACATCAGATGTAAGGCAGGGTGTGTGCGTGAGCATGGTGCTCTCTGGGACTACTGTGGTGATGCACAAATCCACAGGGCTGCAGAATCAGCATTTCAGCTCTGAAATAACACAGGGAGATCTTGGAGCAAGGAGGGGAACATGTTGATTTGGCTCCCCCCTCCTCAACTTCTGCCTTGAATTATTGAACTTCTGGCCCCTGGGTGTCTCTGACGCTCTTTTGCTGGCAATAACAATGGACTGGCAAAGGCTGGCACCATGAGCTGATCAGAGACAAGAGGCAGCCTCCGTGCACCGAAGGAGACTGCAGAAGTGCTCTCAGCCAACCCAAGCCTAGGCTGGCACTGAGAAGAGTGTTCCTGCCATCTCCCTTGTCTGCTTCAGTGCTGTTATGGCTGCAGGACGAGCTGGGTTCAAGATGGGGCCTTAAAAATTACACCACTAAGCAAGGAAAGCAAGGCAGACAGTTGTACCAGCAGGAGAAGCAGCTGGGGGTAGTGTGCAAGCCCACCCTGGGAGAAGGAAATTACAAAACCACAGCCTGTGAGACAACATATGAAGGTGAGGAGAGGTTGCAGAGAGTCTTGAAAGTGAAGTCAAACAACTTGATGTGATGAGGGCAAGAAACAAGACAAGCTTGGAAGGAGGAGGATGACATGGGCAAAGCTGACAGGCTGGGATGACAGCCTTTGCTGCAGGGCAGAATATCAAGGAGCAGAGGATCTAGAGAGGTCACAATCCAAGATGTTCTCATTTATTAATGACTTGTTATTGACGATATCTCCAAGAACAAAAATACTGCTATTAAAAACACTGACATCTGTTTTTTTCCTTCTTTTTCTGGATCCAGTCTTCTTAAAACTTCCCAGAATGCATGCATGCTTAAAATCAAAAACTGTCTTATATAAAAATGAGGCAGCCAGGAGAAGCAGACCACTGTATGGTCTTCCCATAGGCTTGTGTCTTGCATCCACATCTCACAAAACAGAGGCTTTCTGGGTCCACCACTAAAAGCATCCCATCTTGCAGGTCAAATGTAGCAGGCAACTGGTGATCCCATGCAACACTGTCCTTTAGCTTCTGCTCTGTGCTAAATTTGGCTGAGAGCAGGAGTTCCTCAAGGTATTAGAAGCACCTTGACAGGGCAGTCACATAAGACTTGTAAAACCAGACGAACAAATAATATTGCTTACCAAAAATCGCATTATAAAGATGACTATGTGAACTGAAGTGCCCAAATGACTGCACAGGGCTTTCCACTTGCCTGGCTGTATCTCTGAGAGTGAGACAAGTGCAAGACAGACAAGAAGCACCGTATTTAAAAACTAAAGAGGCTCAAAGGGGTTTTGCTGAGAACACTGTCAAAACTGGAGGGAGCATCAAGACAATTTCCTTGCTTCTGATGGAAAATAATTGTCTCTGGATGTTGCTCAAATATCTCTGCTAGGAATGTATTATCCACAGGGCTCACACAAATACTTCCAAGGATCCATTTACTTAACTAATGTGTTTATTAGCTGTGGCCCAAGATGAGTTATATCAAGTGTAAAATACTTTTTAAAACTCAAAAAAATAATATGTCCACAGAGGACTTATTGTTCATGGTCTTTACTCCACTATGTCATACCACCTCAAAATCACTTGACTGTAGTACAATGTTTTACAATCAAAGTATATAAGGGCTGCATGCTGAGATGGTGTAAATCAGCATCCCTTTATCAATGGAGGTATACTACAGTGGAGGTTTTAATCATCTTATTTGTTTAAACTATAAACACCTTATTCACTTTTTTCAGATCATTAATTTAATCTAGGCTGGTATATTTTTTTTTTCTTGTGCCTGTTGAAATGCAGAGTGCCTGCAAACACACACACACATATCAGGAAATTTATTGAAAAAGAAATAGGAATATTGTTACTAGCACTGTGACAGCACATCATGATCACCATGTGATTTTTATTAAAGATGCACTGCTGAACTTGATAAGAACGGCATTACCACCAGCACTGGTAATTTCACTGCCATTCCTGCCTCTGTCTTGGGCTTCCTTTCAATGCGCTGAGCTAATTACAGAATTCAGATCAAAGGCCACACTTGGTTTTCCAAAGTAAATATTATGACATGGAAGCTCCACCACCCCCACTGTTTGTACTATCGAAGTATCGCATTGCACTACTACTCTTTAACACCTCCAGGAAATCAGCACTAAGCTATGGATATGTGGCTATCTCTGAAGCTATGACAGTTGGAACAGGGAAAGATTTATTAAATAACAGGAGCCCTAGCACCAAGCCTGTGGACAAGGTCAACCATCAGAGCTTCACAGAGCTCAGGAGACCTACATATTGGCAGGGACCTTCTGGTGCCATAGGTCCTTTAGAGGGATTTGCATGGCCTATGAGTAGCTTTTCACAGCATCTTTATCAGACACCTACCACCACAGGCTGGTAGATGAAAAGTTAATTCTTTTCAGTGTTTTCAGTCCTGATGTTCACAGATTTGAGATTTCGCAGAGAGCTAAGAATAAGTACACTTAACATAGCAAAGGGAATGTTTCTAATAAAACTAAGAACAGATTATAAACCACCATGTCATGTAGCTAAAAAGCAACAAAAGCAAGGTGCCATTAAACAGCTGGCTAAAGAACAGGGCTCAAGGGATGCAGGAAATGCAGGAACAAGGAGGGACTTTCAATGTCACTTCCTGGTACATTTTAAATCTTCATTTCACCTTTTCTTTTTAATTTATGGTGAGTTTTCTTCATTTCACAGTTATTACATTAGCAACAATTTTATTAGGTTACTAGTGTGTTTGCTGCTGCATGAGACATGGAGATGAAGCTCCCACCCCAAAGCAGTTCACGTGAGCTGGTTTTGTAGCTTAATGTCTCTTCTCCTGACAAAAAAGCTTCTCACAAAAAGCAGCAAAAAATTCCTCATAACATGTTTTTCACTCCTGAAGAACCTTCCTGGGCAGGCCTACATGATGGCACAACTGCTCCATCGCATTTGTAGAAAGACAGACTACATAAAAGCTGAGTGAGGGAAAGGGCAGCGACAAGCAAGAGGTCTACAAATTATCCTGTCTATTCCACCAGCCAATGTGGGTGCTGGAAAATTTCCCTTGTCCTGGGAAACCCTGGTGGGAATGGAAAGCTGTGCAGTAGCTCAAGCACTACCTGGGAGAGGTGTTGGTGAGGAGAGGCTGCCCTGGGACCTGAGGCTGGTTTCAGCAGCCCCCGCTGCAGCTTCCTCCGCAAGCATGGCAGACAGAGCATGAAGAATGGAGGCACTGCTTCTTCAGGGTGAACAAGCAGAGATCACCAGTGCTGCTATCAAAATACAGCATGAGCTGTGACATTAAATCTGTTTTTACTTACAGCTGAATTATTACTAATAAAGCAACCTTTATTTTTCTGTAACATACCCAGCTGGACAGTGGGATTTAATCCCTTTGATTTAAAATACATACTGTGTACAATCTGCTTTTCTTAAAACATCAGGCTACAGACTTGAGGATGATTTACTTCAGTGCTAGCAAGGCTATGGAAGATTGAACCGTCTCTTTTCCCTACTCTTCCTACACCACCCACTGTAAGAAGACCTTTCTATGCGACCAAAGCAAACGATATGCAGAGCAGTTCTGAAGTAATTCTTTGGCATGTGAGTATTAATTGTACTTGCATCATCTGATTAGGTCTGAGTCTGGATGTCAAGTTCACATACTGTTGCATAATCAACCACCAAATAACAGGAAAGTTATAGAAATTCTTTAAATCTACCAGATATTCATATAGCACTGTTGCAAACCATCTGGTCTCACTTATCTGCTAAACCAAGATAATGGGTGGTATCCATCATTACTGATGAATGATTCATGGTAACACATCGGTATCCTCTTGACCTGTAGCTGAGGTAATCCAGAGTTCTCTTTTGCTATTATGTTCCCAGAATCGGTTGCTTCGCTACAGAGTAATGACTACAAGTTGGGGTAACATTTCCAAAGACTGAACTCCCTAAGGGAATTTTGAATACTTCAGGTTTCATTAACCATCCTCCTCTCGTTTGTTTGGAGTGCATGCGCTTTATACATTACAGTGAGTGTCCATTTGATCTGAATGTTGTGTTTTTCACCACTTTTCAGATCATGAAACCTTTTGAAGAAAGAAAGGCAGTCAAGTTTTTAAGACTGCGACCACAGACATTGCCGTTGGCAAAAGTGTAGGCATGGAGATAAATATAAACAGATGTTTGGGGTCTGTTTTATGAAGAGAATATGTTCTTTTCAATGCTCACACTAACATTAATAGGAGTTATGCAAAGGCAGTGAGAGACTATATCCACTAATGATGAATCTGAAATGTCTGCATGAATGAATCGAGCACTGAGTATAACTGATACTGGAATACAATCAAGACTCTATCATTGATCTTTTTTAACAGCCCTCTACACCGTTTTCATACTGGGTGCTGGAAGCAAATTTAATGAATATAAATGTAGAATCAAATTTTACCAGATGCTAAAAATGTGAGCAACTCCTACTGACTTCGGTGGAAACATATGCATATGGGGGCAGAATCCAATCTCTAGTAAATATGGAATTATGAAGACAATAAAATAAATTACTTCTGCGCTGTCAATTCTTTAATTTTTTACAAAGTTCCCAGTTTGAATATTGAAGCTGTCGGTTAAAAGATGTAGCATTATTCCCACATTCAGCTGAAGCTGAATTATTTGGAACATTTTTTTCACAAGATGCTGTCGGGAACAGCTTGATTGCTATCTATACTCTTTCAGCTCCTCTCTGCAGCAACATTAGCAGTTGTCACATGGAAGATTATGAAGTTTCAAAAACTCTCTTTATAAAACTACCAATTTTAATTACTGGAATTGCCAAACTAGTTTCATACCAATAAGCTTGATATTGTTGTCTTCATCTAGCAGCAGATTTTCTATCTTCAAGTCTCTGAAAGAAACAAAACATTTTGAGTGAGCCTCCAAAATAATGATGCAGCTTCCCATCACTCTCATCAGTGTATTTATAAGATTCATATATAAAAAAGCGTATCATGAAAGCAGTACACACAGTTACACATTCAAAGCAGAAATCCCCACGCATTGTCTCTCCTCTCTAAAATTACCAGTGCTTTCACATCTATTCTTCAGGCTCAAAATGACTTTATCATTTATAAGCATCCTTTAATTAATCAGGCTCTTCAAATTTCTCACGTACTTAAAAGTTTGCAGAAATCTTATACACTGGAAATATTTCAAATATATGGTTTTGGAGCTGGAGGTCACTTTCTCATTACTCTTCACAACCCAAAGCTCTTCAGTGGCCACAGCTGAAGAATAAACCTGCAGAGATCTTAGGAGTCAAACATCTGTCCCCTGTTGTTGTCTACAAGGGAGACCAGAACCAACCTTCCCTAGACATGAAGCATTCAAGCTCCTTATACAGTCATCAGATTGGTACTCCCATATGCTAGAGGTGACAACTGAAGGCTGAGGGATTGAAATGATTTGCCCAGTGCTATCCAAAAAGCCAGTAGCAAAGCCAAGAGAAGTCACACAGGTTTTCTGAGTGCCACATTAGTGGTTTCTCCACCATGCCACCCTGCCCAACACCACAGACCCACTGCACAGATCAGGGCCTGGACCAGTTTCTGGAGAGGGTAAAATGAAAGTGGTCTCCTTCTACAAGACAACCAACCTTTCTGATATGTACATCAGCACATTTTTCACTTTACGTGTGCCCTGTCATCACTTAAGAACATAGTTGCTCTTTCCTAAGTCATGTGCAACCTAAGAAAAACATCCCAGATATCACACACACACAAAATAACCCAAAAGCATTGAGCATAATATGAAAAAATCATTTAGGCCGCTACACAACTTGTTCATGACTTCTAGCAGTTGGCTGTGTCTTTATCACAACACTTTTCCCCCCATCCAGACATAAAATATTTCTAACAATAATCATGCTGGGATATCAATAGCTCAGATGGGCGGTAATGATTCTCCCAGCATGCTTTGGAAAAATCTGGATAATAAAGCCATCAGCTATAATAATGGGAAGTCAGTGACACCCATGGTATTTGGCCTATGTAAGTCAAAGGGAGTAATGAAGGATGCCTCCACTACAGCTGAAGATATAAAGCTTAATAAAATAAGACAAGTAAACCAACCAAACCAAACAAAGTCCTTCCACAAGAAAGGATCTGGGAAAGAAAAATAGCTGCGCCCAACTACAAGCATTTTTTAAAACGTTCCTCTCCATTTCATTTTATGCCCATGCTGTGTTTCAAATAAACCTGAGGCAGAAGATTGCTTGCAAGTAGGATGCCACTCACTTCATCAATACAACCACAAGGACCTTCTCCAAACAGATGTTTCTACACCCCAGTGAGCATTTCTGGCAGATTTTCCTTATTCCATGTGTGAAAAGAAATAGGGAGAATAACTATATAAATCTACTGAAGGAGAGTATTTTGCAAATGTCAGGTATTCAGGGGCAATATCCAGGATTTTCTAGAGCATCCAGCCAAACACTTCCCAAAGAGAGGACTGCTTTCTGGACTAGTCCTTCCCAGAGAAGCAATGTAACCCTGTCAATAAAGCACTGAGAGACAGAAGGAGAGGATTATGTTCCCTCCTCTGGCAATAACCTAGTGTGTTAATTTGAGGAGGCCAGCCACATTAAAAGTGACAGCTACTTTCAAATAGCACGGCAAAGATGTGGACACATTTGGCTGTGTTTTGACCAGCCCTGCTCCTGCTCCAAGAGCAAACACCAGCTCCAGGCCATGCACCCCATGGGGCCAGCCAGCACCCACAGCATCAGTCTCCTCATCCACCAGAGACTCTGCATACTGCTGCAGACCCACCACCCTGTGTCCTCCAAGCAGGGCAACTGCTGCCACTGAGAAATGACTTCATACAAGGAGGACATGCCCTACCAGATGGATTTGGATCAACCCACTTCTGCTTCTATATTGCCAAAGAAGGACTTATTTCTTCATAACTCATGTCTTTATTGCTTGCAGGTAGAGGTTTTCACAGTGTGATTAACCTCTAGAAAGATATCGAGGCTGGAAATTTGACAGGAGAGACTGCAAAAAAAAAAAAAAACCAACAAGAAAAAAAAAAAAACCAGTATGGAAAAGAGAAAAAAACAAAACAAAACACAAACACCCAAAACCCACAAAAGCAAAGCTAAAACTGAAATCAACAGAAGCACATGGAGCTTCAGGTCATACACTGCAATGCTCAATAAAATATCTCAAAGCAAGGAGAAAGACCATTTGGAAGCTCAGAGTATATTAAACATTAGCTAAGAAGAGGTAAGACATGAAAAATAAAGGCAAGGCAACTGCAAGATGAAAGCTGTAGGTTGAGGAGAAAAAACACACAGGCAATTAGAATAATAAATGAGTGACAGGAGGGTTAAACATAAACACAAGAAAAGATACTTAACAGGATTCTAGGTTAAAAAATAAAACTAAAGGTAAATATTACAGAGCATTTTGAAGTTACCAGAAGAAAAAAAAATTACATATAGCCTCAGTATAGAGTGCAATCAGACCTGGTGAATTAACAATGTTTACCCATACGTCCATTCTCAGCACATTTGCCGTTAAGTGATAACTGATGTAACAGTCCATGTGCACCGCATTTTGTCAGCCCATGTCACTAGGAAGGCATGTTTTTTTATGTGACACTGGCAGCTAGGACAACAGGTTTTTATTCCCTGATAGAACCTAATGAGAAGATTCCACATGAACCAGCCTTAGAAATGCAAAGCAAAAGCTGTATGAAAACCAAACAAAAATCCCTAAACTCTCCCCACAGCTGGAGACCCGCTGCTGCACAGACATGGACCGCTGGGTGGACACCAGGCAGGACCTCTGGGCAGCCTGAACCCCTGCAGCAGGCTGGGAGCAGGGCACAGCGAGGCAGGTACCTACAGCAGAAGTGCAAACAAGCCGTGTATCTGGACGAGATCCATGGCCGTCAGGACAGCAGGGTTATTCAGTGAATACTTTCGGTGGCTTTAACAATGCACCAGATTACCCACTGTTTCTTTTTGACAAAAAGTGCAGTGCTACAATCCAATTACATCTCTGCCTTAGGCTCATCCTGCAGACAGGACCAATTTGCCTGAACTTCCTAACTGCTTTATCATGTCAGTTCTGATCAATCCAAACTTTAATTATTTTTTACAAAGAGAGGATTATCTGAGCTGCTGTTTTGTTTGAATGTTTACATTAATCCATTGCAACAGAAAAAGTAGCACCACTGCATCTAAAACTGATACAGAACCCTGAATTTCATCCACTGTACACCAGTGGAGTTTTTAGCATGCTTCAAATAGCTGCATACTGCAAGGGTGAACATGAGTTACCAGCTACAACACACAGTAATTGAAGTCCTTGCTGAAGTCAATGGGAAGACCCAGAGCATTGAACAGCAAGTATACGATGGTCCCTATGGACTCAAAGTTCCTCAAAGTTTTGCCAGTGACTTGCACTTCTTGGTGGGTTCCTAGAACTGGATCCAGGAGCTTTGTGACTGGAAGGCCTGGGCAAGCACTCCCTTATGCCAGCACCATGTGCCACACTGCATGGGGCTGAGGTGGGGAGAAGAAATGCAAGTGCTGGAGACCTTCAGTATCCCTCCTTGAAGTAAATCTGATCTTGTTCCTTGCTGTTGCAGCTCCTCAAAAAATAGGACTAAAAGATTTGCTTAAAGGAAAGAAAAAGTAATTTTTGTGATTCGTTGCTGAAAAAATTCAAAATAACCTCTGCGATTAAGGAACAAAAAAAATTTACTCTCTCCTGAGGGGCTAGTTTCATGATGCTGTGAGTATCTAACTATGGTACATGGCAGCCAACTCTATGAATAATGAAGTCACTCAAGAAAGACTTTTAGGTGCATTACCACAGTGTGGAGAATCAGCATATATTTATGCCTTGTCAGCTTGTGAAGCCAGCAGCATACAGGCAGCATTCCCCATATTTGAAAAGACATCTTCTTCATGGGATGGTTGGTTTGTGAGTTCGTTCTGCTGCTGATGGGGCTGATTTTCCTCTGGCTTTGGTCAGAGCTTTACAGGCTACTTTGGAAACCCCAACTCCAGCCAGCGTCTCCACCAAGCAACATGAGCCTGCTCTGCTGAGCAAGCTACCTCAGGCTTCAGCTGTCAGCTCAGCATGTTTTTGAGAGAAGCTTATTCAGTGCCTTTGCAACCATCAGACAGCAAAATTGAAGTTTTTGCATTTCACGCTTTATTTCTTGTCTGGGGGAAGAGAGATGAGAAGGAAGGTTTTACCAGCAAGCAGCTGCAAAGCAGCAGTGGTTGGCTGCTGTCTCCCACTTCTTATTTTTAATCAGAGCAGCACCACAAAAAATATCACTCCTTAACTGGCATCCCACAAGCCCACTTTCTAGCCCCATGCAAGAGCTGTGGGTGAGCAGGAAAGGTTGCAGAGATTTCGGTTCATTATCACACCAATATACATTTCAAAGGCTTTGTTATCAAAATATTATTTATTGAGCTGGATCCTTCTATCAGTCACAATGTCACCGAATTCAATGTGTTTGCCTCTGTAGAAGAGGAATTCGGTCTATTGTCTTCAGTAAAACAATATTTAGTTTATTTACAACAGAGTACTCCAAGAGAGAATGCCCAAAGGTAATTTTGAAAGTTGACATAAAGTAGAAAGACAAACCAGCTTTTCACTTCAAAAGGAGACTTTGTTCTGTAGAGCGGGATCTGTCATAAATATTGCATCAGCAGCCAGACTACTGGCACTTAAAATTAATAGGATGGAAGTTATCAAAGCCAACATGTCAAAGTAGCAGGTACCAAGGCAGGAATCCTGTAGCACCCCGAGCAACTGGATCATACGGCACCACCTTACTCTGCTAGAGAAATAGATCATAGCAAAATATATAAACTCTGCTCAAAACCACAGGTTAGGTTTGGGTTTTTTTATGTCTTTCAAACTTCTGATCTGCTTTTAATTACAAAATGGCAGTGGAAGGTACAAATATGCTTCCATAAAGACAGAAGAAACGGGGAATACAGAGAGCTATCTTTGCTACCAATACATTATTGAATTCTTCTCTTTGACATCCTGACAGTAATTGCACTGAATGGGAACAAATTTTGTTAAAATTACTTTAAAAGGGTTGTTGAGAATTTCCTGTGGGATGCAGTGGCAAGCACCAAGGCTTTCACTTCATTGTCTCTGTTGTCCTTACGCTCCCAAGAGGCTTACTGTTCATCCTGGTTTTTGACAGCATGAAGGCCTGTGTAAACACCCTCTGAAAAGAGAAAGTTTCACCAGATATTGCCATCGGGGTTTGTTTTCCTCTGTCAGAGGGAAAGATAAATATTCCTACCCAATTCACAGCTGAGCTTGTTGCAAGCATATCTTTAGCAACCAACGAGCTCTTCTGATAGAAGGAATGAAACACAAATGATTACATGGAATTATATTTAGAATAGCATAATTTCTTTTTTCAGTGAGTGGCCAAGGAATTAAGAACCCTGGACATCTCTCACCAAAGATGTAGCTCCTGCACTCAGGAACGTGCAGTCTACACCCATTGTAGTAGATGAAATATTTATAATTTAAAATACAGCCGTACAGTCAAACATGAGGTTTAGGGTTTTTCAACCTCTCTAAATAAAATGAAGTTTCTTGAAGTTTTTTTAATTTTAGGCTTTTCACACATCAGTGGCCCTTAACAGAAGCGTTTCCCATGGAGTTCTGGGTCCCAGCTCTTGCCCAAAGATCAGGGTGCTTTTCTGCCATGTCAAGTCTTGATCGTAAGTTCAGAAGCGTACCGAGTAACATTTGTCAAATATTGCAAGTAAATTTCATGCAACTTATTTCACCTGGCTTTTTATCATCCTGAGTTATAGAACAGGATAAGTAATTTATATGATTCCCTGAATAATGCAGACAAACCAAATTTATTTTTTTTTTGTGATAAAATAGTCAGTGAACACTTTTCAATGACCTGCCTCATTCAATGTGAATGATGAAAACATTTGGAGAGAGACAAACAGTAGCTTGCTTTCTGGCCTAGGATGCTGTGTTTTGTTTCACATGCTTTCTGTGAATGCAAACACCCAGAGATCACTGCATAGAAGAAAGTGCTGTTATTTTTACCTGCTTTAAAAATAACAATAACAACAACAGAACACTGCCATTTCACCCAGGTTGAGAATGAATCAGACTTCTGCACTATTTTTGCCCCCTCTTCAGTCACCAATTGAGTAGTCTTGTTTTCAGAACTGCCATGGAAAAAGCCTGAGGACACTGAAGGACAAGTCCTGGGGTAAATATTATTCTTTCTCCCTCTCCTGCTTGCAGACAGCCAGGAGAATAAAGCTGGATCACATCACCAGTGGTCTTCCTGGATCTCTACATTGCTCTGTTTACTTTGTTTGCAGAATAAATCAAGCTAGAGAAAATACTTGCAGATACACTGCCTGTGATTCTGTCAGATTATATCAATTCAAGCAGCATTGGACCTGCTCATTACCCAGATGGAAGATTTCCCAAGAACAAGCTCTGTGCCATGCTGTGAATTGAGAAGTAGAGTGGATGGAGTACGCTGCCTTTGGGGTAAGTATTAATCCAGCGCCACAGGGCAGAACGAAGAGAGCTCAGCTGTCAGATGCAGCACAGCACCTCAGTATTTCCAGGGCTGCTTCCTCCCTCCACTCAACAAGGTCCCTCGTGGTTCAGCCTCTGTGAGCTGTGCTTACATTCACAGGGACAGCAGAGAGAAAGAAGGGGCGAGGGCCAAAACTGCTGTGAGCGTGCAGCATCCGTACTGGAACTTGGGCTCTTTGGGCTCATGTTCTCTGGACACCAAAGCCTTTCCTTCTTCCCACCACAGCACCCTGTTGATTCTAGCCTGTACCTAGTGAATAAGCTATTTTTTAGTACAAAATGTGGATTTGAATGCTCTCTGAAAAAGAAGAGAATCAAAGCCAAGCCTACCAATCTCCAAAAAGTACTTCAGCCACTATGCAGAGGTTTAATTTTTCAGGGAGAAGAACTGCTGCTGCTGAACATGATACTGCTGTTAAAAGCTAAACACGTTCATTTGTTCCTGTCGGGTTTTCCTCTGCCCAAAACTTTGACCCTTTTCCTTCCTCTCTCTCTGTACATACTGGATATCAATTGATCATTTAAAGCAATAAGTAGACTACTTCTTTTTCCATGCCCCAAACTGTGGGGTTAATAATTTAAAGAGATCAGCAGTGTAGCTGCTGATAGAGAACTCACAGAACAGATCTAGTGGCTGCTCGAGCATTTATATTACATTGGTACCAGAAATTTAGCTCAAGATAAGACCTCAGTACACACGAGGCTGTATGTGCACGTAGCATCTGTCCCTAATGGATCACAGGGAACACAGAGAGAGAGTCAAGACAATAAAATCATGAAGTTCCACCAAGCCAGATGCACCCAACAGCACTGCACAGTGGTAGGCAGCTCAGCACACAGCTGGGCACAGCTGGAGGAGCTGGCTGTGAGCTGCCTTCAGGAAGTTTGCCAGATGGGTTTATATAACAACTATCCATCTTCTATAGAGTCAGTGCAGCCAAGGAAATTAAGACACACATTCTCAAGTGTATTCAGGTGTCTAGCTCCTGCAACATGCCTACATAACCTCAGAGGGCAGGGCCTACACAACTTGTGTAGCATCACATGGGAAGTATGTGGGAGTCCAGACTTAACACCAGTTGGCCCAAATTTAGAAAGCAGAGCCTCCTTCTTAGACAATACCCTATAAATACATTTAAGAACAGAGTGGAGACATACTGTCTCAAACGAAAAGTCTACCCAAGCCCACAGTCCTCCTGTCTCCACAGCAGCCAAGAGCACTATGGAGTAAGTGGAGAAAGGTAAAGGGGCAGGCAGTCACTTGTGATATCTCCACCTGCACTTCCCAGCCTACACCACTTGGTGCTCAGGGACTTCAGCCAGAGGTAGCTACCTCTTATTCAGCAACCCTTCGCAGATTTCTCTCTGATTATATTGTTCTGTTTCCCAGGAAACCCAGGTAATCTTTTAACTCCACAGCATACTCCTGCAAGGAGATCCACATCCTGCTTATACACAGTTTGAACTAAGGTCCTGAAGAAAGAATGCAATGTATTGCAACAGCTCTGGAGCTCTCCTGAAAAGACACTGTGAGATGAACTGAACAGTTGCACACTTTGCATTGTACAGTCTTCAAAGCTGTGAGGTCTTGTCAAGGCAATATAACAAATAGAAAGATCAGGGAAGCAGAAGCAAGGGACTTCCATGGTCCCATTCATGCTTTGTCCCAGCTATGTCACTGTGAGGCTTTGGGCAAATCTGTTCATCTCCCTGTATCACTGTATTTCCACCAGAACACAACAGGCACAATCCCCTTCTCAAAGAATTAGTGAAATGTTTCACCAGGTAATGTTGGTAGAGAGCTCTGAAGACACAAACTAATGCTGCTTGCAGAGAGCGAGCCCTGCTTTTGCAAAGCACAGGCTTATCTCTAGACACACGGAGTCACTGTGGCTCCTGTGTGCTCACCTGAAGCTACACACTCACTGAAGTGCTCTCTGCAGATATTTCCTAATGGCTAAAATATGAGCTTCTAAACAATATAATGAAGATAAGCTAAAAAAGCTGCTATGAATAAGTTTTTATGAGGAAGTGTCTTTACTACACAAAGAAATGTCAAAATAACCATTTAGAGGCTCCGAGATAAATTTTGGTAGACAGAGTTTTTAAGATTACCTGTGAACTACTCCTGCCCGGTGAAGATGTTCAACTGCCAGGATAAGCTGACGGATATATTTGCGTGCTTCATGCTCCTCCAGTCTTTTTTTCTCGTATATCTTGTGCATCAAGTTGCCACCAGGGCACAGCTCCATGACAAGGTAGTAGCTGTTCTCAGTTTCCAGTATATCCAGCAGCTGAGCAATATTGGGGTGGCGGATCATCTGTTGGATCTGCCCTTCCCGTCGCAGATTCTTGGTGACATAGGTGTCTTTTTTGGCTCTTTTCTTGTCAATTACTTTCACTGCCACCTAATGAAAAAACAGAGGAGAGGAGGTTGTTAATAGTCACGCTGATGATTTATTACTCTAACCTTGTATAAAAAAAACCTAAAACTGCCTAAAAAATCAAAAGATGTAAGTCTCAACCGATACACCACAGTTAAAATTATAACTGCCCAGATCAGATAAATAGCTGTTTTTCCAACCCTCCTGACTATTCTTTTCTTTATTCCTTTGTATGATGACAGACAAAAGCTATTGCAAGGAACTAGGTTACAAAGGAGTAGAGACAATCTCACAAACCATACTCATACACTTTGCACACTTAATGCTATGCATTTACATTACCTATTTTCCAAGAAAGTCTGGAGGCTGGTGTTCACAAATTTTAACTGTCATTTTTGGCTTTTCCTGGCTTTGGATATATGACTTGAGATGATATGCTTCCATGACAAGTTTCTTTAGCTATAGCCAAGTGTTAGTTGTGCATGATTAAACAGAATAAAAACATACCATGAAAACCAAAATTATTTTGATCCCACTCTCCTGGCACATTTATTTTTTTCTGTTTTAAAATGTACATGAAAGATGATCCCCTTGTGACTTCTAGAACTGAATGTTGCAAAATCCAAGAAAGCAAATTTGCTTTTTTTAAATGCAAGCTTTCAGTGGCACATTGGCTCACAGCTGTCCAAGTCAAGCAAAGCCCATCATGATAGTACACAATAAAACTAAGGAGACTCTGCACCACAGTCCACAACATAGCACCTATCCAAGTACTTTCATCCTCATTGCTGGCGCTGAATGCCATGTGAGAATAAAAGGTAGGACTGATGAGGATATTGCTCTGCTCTACACCTAAAGAATCTGGTTCCTTTTATTGCTTAATGGATTCACTAAATAGCCACAATAAAAGTATCTGCCTTTTTCTGCCTCAAATTTATAGACTTTTATTTATTGAGATTTCTTAGTTAGCTTGGCTGCTGCAGACTTCCAGGTCATCTGCACCAGACAAAGATTTAACAGCTTGTGCCAGGCTGAGCAACAAAAGGCACCACAAAATTCTCCTCCTGGGTTCCTCATTTCCTCAGAGCTCTGTAACAAAGGAAGTCCCTCACTGCATGCACCCGGACTGCACAGCTCACCCATCATTACCAAGTGATAGCTGCTTGTTTGTCAGGATGGGAGCAGGGGAAACACAGTGCTCGGTATTCCTCTGTGACAAAATTTTACCTGACGTTAAAGTTTTGCTTGCATGGTTACAGGTCCAACAAAATGCAGAGAAAATGCCATGTCTGCCCCTCCCTCCTCGGCTCAGATGGAGGCACAGAGATGCTGCATTTGCATCTTTGCAGTCTGCCTTTATTTGGCCTTTGAGGATCTCCTGTGTTACCTCACTCCTACAATGAGAAGGAATAACGAATGTAAGGAAAACCTTGGAGCTTTATCTACACTACCCTTAACACCCAGACAACAGCACAAGCCCAAGTGACTTCCCTCCATCTCTAGCTCATACAGCATCCCTCCTCACAGCCGAGGAACGAACTACTCACAGCAAACACACTTTCAGCTACAGCCAACTACATCATGACAATCCACAGTACTGCAGGCTGGTGGGCTTCAGCAAGAGGGAGACAAGCTTATGCAAAACATATTTGGCTGCCTTCCTAGCTTGAGAAGGTGCCAAGCACACACCAAGTAGACAGCAGCTCCCAGTCTGACTATCCTTACCTTTACTTTTTCTGCATGTGAAGGAGAGGTTAAATTAGCAAACATTTTGGTTTTCCTTTAGAGAACAAAAGCCACAAAAAACATGGTCTGGAAATACGACAACAAAAATAGATTCACACCCTTTGACATGAGTGCCTTGAATCAAAGTCAAGTTTTATCAGCAGAGGAATTGAAGAATAAAACTACAAGAGTTGGTGCTTCATAGTATGTCCTAAAGGCCAGAAGTCAGTACTGCTGAGCATGTTATTAGCTGGATACATTTCTGCTGCTAAAGATCATTCTGATGAAACACTGTTGATAAAAAGATAAGGCTGAACACCACACACGAGAGCTGCCTGGATGAAGCCCAGAGCAGCATCAGGACCATAAACGCCTGGAAGCTACATTCCTGACTAGTCAAATTAAAGACCATTTAGTCCTAAGATAAAACAGCAGGTAAATCAGAGCTTAACTTCACCATTTTTGAAAGCCTGAGGTGATTCACTAAGGAAACAGTCTTAAATTAGTACATTCTTCCATACAATGAGATAGAACTGAGGACACAGAAGTTTGCATGGATTATGTACACAACAAACCACAGAAGTTTTTCTGGTGAGGACAAATTCATGGGTTACAGAAACATGAGAGGTCAGACTGTTTGCTGGCAGCACAACACAATCTCTGCAAAAAAAAAAATTTAAAAATTAAAAAATCAACATAAAACCCCTGGTATTTTCTACAACTGCAGGATACAAAACATGAAGCATTAACAGTATGGAACAGTAATCTGTTACCCATATCAGTAAGTCATCCCCACTTCATTGGCCAAAAAACCCATACTACTACACGTGTGCACATCTGCTGCCCAGGCTGAGCATGGCTGTGGAGATGCAGGCAACCACCCAAACCCAGGAGATAGAGCCAACTATGTGATGATTTGATGACTTTTTCACTATCGCAAAGAATTAGTTTTCTGTGCCTTAAGGGCAAATTTTCTCCCCGATTTTGACAGATGACTTGATCAGGCACTCGACCTATCCCAGCAGACAAGCCAAGCTGCTTTTGGACGCAGCACCCTTCACTCTGAGCTACTTTTCCCCCTTCAAGGCCCCTTTCACTAGGTCCAAGATCCACCAGCACAGTTGACAGAGCTGACAAAGGTAGAAAAAATTTTTGTTTCAGGAACAGCTTTGCAGAGGGGAAAGAAAAGAGTAAAATGCTATGGCAGACTTGCATCTTCCACACCAGGCAGGAACTAGCTTCAGTGTGATATTGCTTGCTTCTGGGACAGACATGTTTGGGACCTTGTATCCTCTCCTAGGCCCATGCTGCAGTGCAGGGCACCCTGGAAATATCTCAGACAGATGACCCCACTGTCCATCTCAGTGACTGTTCAAAAGCTAGGGTCTTTAAAGAAATCTGTATATATATCTACAGAAAAAAAAAAAGGTAATTGACTCAAACACAAGCAGACTACCAACTTTCATATGGATGTTTTCCATACTAACTTCTAGCTTTTGTTTCTCTCTGTTCCTCCTGGGTCCTGTCCTTACTATGCCTTTCACTTATTCTCCTGTCCTAGTCAATGCCCTTTCCATTGCACTGCAGTTCTTCTTGCTTTTGCTTTCTTGCAGGATCACTTTGTGCTCCTAAATGAAATCCATCCCACAGGACAAGGGCTGCACAAAGAGGTCACCACTCTCAGGCAGAGCTTTTGTGTTTGTTTGTTTGTTTTTTTTGTTTTTGTTTTTTTTTTTCACTTGTTTGGGTTTCTTGGGTTTTCCTCTGATTTAAAATTGACTCTGAATCATATAGACAAAATCTAGGAATCAAACTCTGCACTCAGTTACTCCAGGGCTGACATAGCTAAACATCCCCAATTTTGAGTTCATCCAGAGCTAGACCGAGGTGAGTGAAGACCTCATGTGCCTCAATGCATTTAATATACACAGCCTCCTGTATGGTGTAGATGGCTGTGCATGCACCTGAAGATCTCATTCATGCAGAAGGAAAAAGCATTCAGTACAGAAAATACTGTAGATGTTAGATAACCATAAAATAAACACATTTGAGATTTCATAGCCTGCTCAAGACATGCTAATCATTCAGTTTTGCTCTCACAAGTTTCAAGTAGGAGTTCTTTGTCTCTGCATCATGCCTATTTCCTAACCTGAATTCTTGGCCAATACTGGCACAGAAACACAAAAGAAAATAAATGATAAAACAAGTAATTACTCTGAATATGTAGCAACAGTGTCTCTTGACATCCAACACTTTTCTTTTGGCTGCACCTTTGCTGTGTAAATAAATAAATGGTTTGGGTTATTCTGTGTTATGAGATACAAAGATGAGTAATAAGGCATATTTTTGGTTCCTGAGTCCTAGAATTACACTGCTGGAATGAATTACTTTCCTGAAGTTTATGGTGTGACACATCATATGAGCAATTGCTGCTTCTCTTGATCGCTGCACTAAAATAGTTCAGGTTGGGCTAAAGCACACTGAAGTGGAGGTGAGGGGGAAGTGCAAGCACCACTCTTCTCCAGGGATCCTTGGGGGAGATGGTGACACTGCTTACAGCTAAAACACCATCAGCAAATACAGGCGCATGTCATCACCCAAACAAATGCACGTGTTTGACACACACGGGAGGAGAATTTTTGCCAGCTAGTGTTTTAGGAGGATTTGCAAATCTGCAAGAGAGCAGTGTAGGGAGGTAGAGCTAACTGACACCAAACTGCACAAAAACATTCACAGCAAGGGCGTGAGAAAGAGCCTCGAAGAAGAGACTGTTCAAAGGACCAAACATTGCCTGCAGAAATCAGGGAGCCAGGGCTTCAGTGCTAGATCACTGCTGCATCCAGAGAAAACACATTTTTCATCCTCTTTGTGAACAGTCGTGCCTCAACATATGAAACTGCAACCAAGCATGGAAGGTGGCTTGCATGTATCCTATGCTAAGCACGCCCCAGTGCAGCGTCCCCGTGTCTGTGCCGGAGGCGTACTTCAAATCAAGCAGCTCCCCACACCTGCACCCTGGCAGCACACCTGAGCCTGCGAGGCTGGTGACAGGTTTGCTGTGCCAGGCAGGAGGAACCTCCAGGTGCTCAGTGGGCAGGAGTCAAAGCCATCTTCTCCCCATCCTGTCCTGCTGGCTACTTACAACCCTGCCAGTGACACCTGGAAAAACCACAGGTCAAGAAGTAGTGCTTTTGTTAGGGAAGGAAAGGTGTTTGCTTACCCAGTGGACATGCAAACGTCTATTTAGACCACTGCCTGACTGCTCTTCAGCTGCGTTGTTCTGTCAGACTGCGGCTCAG